CTGACTACTGAATCTCTTCAAGTCTAGCTTTAAGCAAACAGAATTGGTTTGCAGATGGTCTACGGCTCAGAAGATTATCAAACACTTTTACATTTTTAGAAACTCCAAATTATTCAGTGCTGGCCACTGAGTAGGAAAAGAGAGTTTTCTCTGTGGCCACTAAATTTATTATTAATGCCCTGAACAACACACAATTTTGTTTTCAGTCTACAGCATGCTAGCACAACTAAAAATAGCCCAGCGTGTGTGCACCAGCAAGTGTGGAGTCGGGTCATTTCCCTGTCTTGATGCAGTCATTACATGGTTGATATTGGCTCACATTTTCAGTACAGTTAAAGAATTTCATGACTGTTACTCTGAACACATTTGTTTTACTGCATTAACTTCATATTCGTGTCCTGATACGAGGCTGAGCCAATTCAGTTTCTCTGCATCTGTCCCTTGTTTGTCTTTGAGAAAATAAGTGAAAGTTTTAACTCAACTGAAATCTTACAGATAGAAAAACGCTAATTCTTTTTCTTTCTACAGGTTCCATTTAGTTGAGGGCAAGTATGTCTGGGCATATTAAGTTCCAAAGGCCTAGCTGTTTTATTGTGATAATTCTATACTTTCTCCATAACACAGAATACCCTTGAACAAATCCTAACCTCAAACTGTTTGTCCTCAGGGTCCTAGAGAGCTCAATCCCTATCTTCCACCCTGAATAATTAGAATTGGATTTGCCTTGAGTGCAGAATGACAGGGATACTCTTTGGGCGCATGAATTCCCAACTACAGAGAAGCTAAAGGTAGTGCTTGTCACACTGGTCATATGGCTATATTTTTATGAATTCTGAGTAACCGAAAGAGGCAAGTACTATTATGAAGTCTCTCCCCAACAGTATAACTATTCTAAAACTATTCCAATTACTCTAGTGATTTTCCTCAAGTACTTTTTAAAGTGTTTATCATCCCACATTTAAGTAGAATAACATCTCTTAGGAAACATCTTTGCAACTCATTTGTCCTGAAGCATTTATCAGGAACAAGCTATAAGGCCAGTGATCACTTGGCCAGTGATCACTTCCTGGTTGAGATTGTTCCCCCCCCCCCCCCCCCATGGCTGTGATAGGCAATTAGTAATACAAGCTCCCCTAGGAACATCCTTGGTTAGATGAGTGTTCCCTTTAGCATGGAACACTGAGTAAGGCCTCAATGGTTTAGTGATCATGTCAAGTATAAAGTCAATATTCTAAGGGAAATAATGACTCTAGCCTTACATACTTTCTCGGCAGGATACTGGAAGTTGCAGGCAGCAAGAATGCAACTCAAACTTGCTTTAGCAAAATAGAAAATATCCGTTCATCTAGCTGGGGAGGCTTTAGGGTAGCTCACAGAATGTTAAGAAAGTTGGCATCAGGACTTTGGTATGAGGAACTCATTTCCTGACCCATCACCTATCATCCATCCTAGCCTCTATTTGTCCCATGTCTGCCTGCCAACAGGCTTCCCTCTCTTCTACCTCATGAATATCCACTGTATGACCCAGGAAATAAGCTCCCTCAGGCTATGATATGCCCTGCATTTCCATCCTAAAACCATAAATGCCTTCCTGGCTCTGTCACAAAGATACAGGGAGTGTTGTCATTTGCCAGGTTGAATCCCATGCCCTCCCTTAAATATATCTCTGCAAACCTAGAACATGAAGATCAATGCAGCTGGGCTAGGGTCACATGAAATAGGAAAGGAGTCCTCAAAAGAAAGAAACTACTACTACCAAAAAGCAATGCGATTTAAACTTCCTGGACCACCGCAGTCACTAGCCTCTATAGTTCAGCACTGACCCTCATCCATGCCAAGATGAGGCAGTCATCTATTCAGCTGTGATTGAGAGCTTTGTCACAATTTTTCAGAAGGGCAAGGCAACCTGCCACTCACTCAGATGACCATTGTGAATATCTTTCTAAGCAATTTGGAATAACTGAACTGGAAATGATCACAAAACAGAAACTAACCCTAGAGTCTCTGTTACTAAGCTCCTATGAAAGCTAAGTTAAAAGAACAAAAAGAACTAACATTCCAGGAAGATTACGTGAAGGATATTCTGTCCACATATAGCTCCTGGATACAATTCAGTAACCAATTTGCCCTTCATTTTCTGTTTATAGCAATTTGGTCTTACTCAGGTAGCTATCTCTGCCTCATATGAGTTAGGGTTAGCCCCATCTTTTGGATTCAAGTTTGATGAGTCTTTGCTAAGGCTAGGTTAAGGATGAATGGCTGACCTAGTTCTGGCCAGTGGTAGTATGCCAAGAGGATTCTGCTTCCATAAAGAAGACAGAAAGAGGGCCAGAACTCTTCCTATTTCTGAACATACCAAAGCTATTTTGCAATTTTGACAGGGGCCAGCCTTGTCATCAATATATTGATGAAAAAGGGAGAACTTATTGACTACTGGCAAGTTGATAAGTGTCATGGTTCTGAAATTTATCATGAAGTATCTGGAGGAAGAGATAAAATCTTTATATTCACACTAAATTACGGATAGAGTATTCTGGCTTTGGGTAACAAATATAGTTAAAAAAACTTTTTGTTTACTCAAGATCATATTGGATAGTGAATCAATTCTAAAAGCTGCCTCATCTATGCATCATAAAAATTATATAAATATTATGCACATTTCAACAAATGAATATAGATTTGTTTGCTAAGCTTTGTATGTAGGAGTTCTTTTCTTACTGGACGAGGCTAATTGATTGGTATTACATATTCTTTCGGGCATTAAAATGCCCTATAATATATATTTTCATTTTCCCATTTATGGTTCTTTAACTTATATTAATAACTTTAATAATATAGAGTAATAGAGATTTGCTTAACAATCTGAAGGCAGAATCCTAATAAGATTTGTGTATTGTTTCATATGGAGTTGAACTCGGGGTTTTGCACTTGCTAAGTGGGAGTACTCTATCACTGAGCCTTATCTCTAACATTTTTTGTTGTTTTTTTTGAGGGGGGGGTCCGGTTGTGGGCCTGAATTCTGAGCCTGGGCGCTGCCCCTCAGCTCTTCAGTTCAAGTCTAGCACTCTACCACTTGAGCCACAGTGCCACTTCCACCTTTTTTTTTCCTGCTTATGTGGTGCTGAGGAATGGAACCCAGGGCCTCAAGCATACAAGGCAAACGCTCTACCACTGAGTCACCTTCCCAGCCCATCTCTAACCATTTTTTGTACTTGTTATTTTTGAGTTTGGTCCTCAATGAAAGATGCATTCCCTAGAATCAGAGTTTAAAGTTTTCTATTTTTATGAATTACACATGAAATCTCTAAGCGCACAAAGCTTTAGAAAGCTCTTTGGCTGCCTTTTAACTAAGACTGACTCTCCATCTGTCTAACATAAGCCTCAGAAAAAGAAACACTAATGTGAGCAAATAACGGGGGGTGGTGGGGAGGAGAATTCATATTATGTCAAAGAAAAAAAATAAGAACAAAATTTGGCTTCAGTGAAGAAAATCCAAAGTGTACTTTGCAAATGAAGTTTTGTCCTTAAGCTTTTCATTTCTAAGCCCCTAAAAAAGTCATTTTAAATCATATCAACTTGGGACTTGAAGAAAACTGAGGCATATTTATCTCTGCTGGGTCACAGAGAAGAGAAATACTTAGAGAGCTCATCGTACAATGCTTGCCACATCAGGAGAAATTCACTATCTCTTGAGACTTCTTAAATGATGATCCATGTCCACAAAAAGTCTCAGAATGCTTACTTTCCTTGCACAGAGGACCAAAGACTGGACAAAATGAGCCACCTGAACACAGCACACATCTGTGAATTCACCTACAGAGTTGCTTCAGCATGCATGACCATCACCTGGAAGACTCCTTAAACACAAACTTCTGAGCTCCACCCTCAGAGTTTCTCCTCCAGTCCCACATTTATAACAAGTTCCCAAGTGAACTGGATAGTGCTTATCCAAGGACCACACTTGGAAAACCACTTGTCTACACCAGAATTGATTGTCACAGGTGGCCAAGTGTGGCCACTAATAATACTAAAGACCAAGACAAAGGAAAAAGTACTTTGGAAATGAGGTTGAAAATGAAATGAAAAACATGAGCAAATATAAATTATATCCATTTATTCTAAACCATCTGGTCAATTAGAAGAAACATTAAAAAGCTGGAAAAGATCCAAGCTAAGATTAAATGAAATGATGAGGGTCATGGCATAGAAGAAGAGACAAAAATCACTGAATAAATACAACAAATTAACAAAAGAAAGTAGATGTTAGTTATACATACAGATTTTAAAAATCTATGAAATTGGGAAAAGATATGTGCAAAGAAATGAATAAAGTTTATAGCATGTGCACGGTTTAACCACTCCCCACAAGTCATTTCTGGGTATCTTTCTGTACTGTTTACTCAGGAAACCTCATCCCAAACCACTCTAGAAGACATGTTTATTCAAAACAACTTTCAAAAGCAACTTCCCACTGGCTCCACCAAAGCCAGGGAAGCCATAGGCAACAATCCTCCCTCACTATCCCAATTCTTCAAGCCTCCCATTCATGACATTACAACCAAAGCTCAGCATTCAAATGCTGCTACAACTGCTATTCTTTTGTCATGCAGAAGCATTCAGCCCTAAAATAGTAGATTCAAATATATAATTCAACTGCTCAGAATATATGTAATTGCTCCTGTCTACCTGCTGTTGTCTCGCTTTTCTGAGAACACATCCACAGTTCACAATGGATGAATTCTACTGTCAGCAACTCTGCAGGACAATCATACATACTTTCTCTCATACTCTCCTGAACACTTCAGATTCTATTTCTAACCCCATTTTCCACTTGTAGTTCTTGCTGTGTTCCCTTCAGGACACATTTCCTCCTAAGACAGTGCTACACTGGAATGTTTCATTATCCATGTTACTCCCCTTCCTCCCCCACCTCAGATGCCCCAAGTCTCTCCCCTCAGTCACATATATTCAGTATATTTGCTTTTGTACTCTCCACTCACCTGTCATTCCCCCAAAGTAGCTTTATTTCCCAGGGTACAATATTTGGGTGTGACCTTTTCAAAGCCAATCCAAGTATCATTCTCTCAATACACGTGTTGTCTACAGAAAGATGGGTTCCAAAGAATACCTACAGAGAGACAAAGGTTTAAAATGGTGGCAACTTTTTCCAAGATTCCTGAGTAGCTATTCTTCATCCTCAGACTACTGATTCTGTTTAGGGCCTAGAAACTAATGCTCCCTCAAACATGAGAGGATCTGTCACTGGTCATGAAAGAGTAAATTAATTAGGATCCAGAAACCAGATGCAAAAGTGACATTGCTTCAGAGCATCTTGACTGTGCCCCTCCCTAGCCTCTTCAGGGTTTACAGTAGAGACCTGATCAGGAATTAACAACCAATCAGAATGTTGGGATAGCCAACCAATAAAGTGTTACCTTCTAAAACTCAATCAGTTAGGACACAGCCCAAGGTATAAGAACCCCTAGTCTCAGAGTCACCAACAGAGACCTTGAGACAGCCACCCACCTGATGGATGACTGGTGGAGCAGCATGAGGAAGTAACCTTCGAGCTAGATACTTCTGATTTGAAGACAGTTCTTCCCACTCATCCTTCACTGTCCTGGACTTCATTCATCAAACTCCTGAGACAAGAACCAGAGGAAGCCACAGCAACGCTGGCAGTAGAGCTACAATACTGGCAGGCATTGTGTGCCCTGAGCTGTGACTGCAACACTAAGTAGGCTTGCCTGCTACAGCGCTGCTACCCCAGTGATCTTGGCTAGCTGCTGGGCCAAAAGGGATTTTGTGGGCTCAACACACTGAAAGTAACAGATGAAAATTCTGTATTAATCAGAAAGAGTTAACTGGGAAAAGTCTTGTAACAGGAAACACACACACACACACACACACACACACACACACACACACACACACACACACACACACTATCTTAAGACTAAAACTCAAGAATTTAAGAAGTATTAACTGTTATGTAACTGAGACAAAACTTAAATATAGATTAACTTATAATTATTAAATCTTAGTCTAAGATAGGTTTCAAATCTATAGAATACCTTTTGTTTCTGAAATGTACTTTTAATTAGAAGCAGAGAATTTTATGAAACCTCTTATACATGATTTTTTGCTCAGGAAACTACCTCAAAAAGAATCTAAGAACCAAAACTATAAAACTTTTAGAAGAAAATGTATGGGGAAAGCTTCATGATATTGATGCTTTCTTAGACATAACACCAAAAGCACAACAAACATTTCTCTAAAGAAGATACACAAATGACCAGCACACATAGGAAAAGATGCTCAATAGCATGAATCATTAGGGAAATGCAAATCAAAACCATAATGAGATGAGAAATGTAGAATAGAAAAGCTGTTACAAAACTTGGACCCAGCAGTTATACTTCTAGATAGATACCCAGAAGGAGTGAAAACAGAGACAAATGGTTTTGTGAGAACATATGGTGAATGAAATAACCAGTCACACAAGCATAAAATACTATATGAGGTACACAGAGTACTTAAATTCAAGAACTGAAAATAGTATATTGGTTGCTAGAGAGCAGGAAGGAGAAATGGAGAGCTATTGTTTGATAGGTGTGACATTTCATCTTTTCAAGATAAAAAGAGTCCTGGTAACGGATGCTAATAATGGGTACATAATAGAAACCATACTTAATCTCACTGAACTATATACATTTAAAAACAGCTAAGATGATAAATTTTGTTAGGTGTATTTAACCATATTTTTTAATTTAATTTAATTTTTTTTTTGTCGGTCATAGACCTGAACTCTGGACCTGAGCGCTGTCCCTCAGCTCTTTGACTCAAGGCTAGCGCTCTACCACTTGAGTCACAGTGCCACTTCTGGCTTTTTCTGCTTATTTGGTGCTGAGGAATCGAACCCAGGGCCTCATGCATGGGAGACAAGCGCTCTACCACTGAGCCATCTTCCCAACCCCTACCATAAATTTTTTTTCCTACCATAATTTTTTAAAAGTATAAGACTACTAATCCCTCCCAAACCTAACAAACCAATTACCAAATGGTCAAGGGAACTAAAGAGGGATTTCTCAAATGAAGAAATAAAAATGGCAAAGAAACACACGAGGAAATGTTCATCATCCCTGGTGGTGAAGGAAATGCAAATAAAGACAACCCTGAGATACTACCTTACCCCAGTCAGAATGTCCCACATCCACAAATCAGCCAACGACAAATACTGGAGGGGATGTCGAGAAACAGGAACCCTATTACACTGCTGGTGGGAATGGACACTTATACAACCACTTTGGAAAGCAGTCTGGAGGGTCCTTAGAAAGATAAAGATTGACCTCCCTTACGACCCAGTCATACCACTTCTAGGCATATACCCTGAACGACAGGAACCAATATACAAGGACACGTGCACCTCCATGTTTATTGCAGCACTGTTCACAATAGCTAGGATATGGAAACAACCCAGATGCCCCACCACAGATGAATGGATCCAAAAGTTGTGGTATCTATACACAATGGAATATTATGCAGCCATTAGAAATGACAAAATAATGGCATTTGCAGGGAAATGGATGGAGCTAGAAGGAATCATGTTGAGCGAGGTAAGCCAAGAGCAAAGAGACAAATGGTACATGGTCTCCCTGATAAGTGGATGTTAAATCCAAAATGTTAGGTGATACAACAAAATTAATAGGACTTAAGAAACAAAGAACTTCTGCTCATCTGGTCGAACCACTACTAAATACCCCCATGCTGCTGATCACATGTACGGTGTATAACAAGTGAACACCGTTATATGTTATAGACTGTGATAGACAATTTGCTCCAGGAAAGTTAGAATGAACTTGTGACTTTAACTGAGCATCATTACTCCACAATACTGTGAAATTTGGGAAATTATGTAATTACTTAATCACAATCAAAAAAAAAAAAAAAAGAACCTCAGGGAAGGTAGGGAGGGAAGGGATGGTAGGGGGAAAACAATGGAGGGGGGTAACAATGTTCAATAGGAAGTGTACTCATTACCTCACTCATGTAACTGTAACCCTCTGTATAGTATCTTTACAATAAAAAAAAGAAAAAATATAAAAGTATAAGACTTAAGACTAAGCACACTAGCTTAGGTATCTGCAATCACAGCTAGTAAGGATGTAGAAATCAGAAGTACTATAGTTCAAGGCAAGTTTGGAGGAAAAGAAATTCGTAAGATCATATCTCAACAAATAAACTGGGTATCATGTGAAGCTATAATCTCAGCTATTGTAGGAGGCACAGGTATAAATAAAGGCTAGCTCCAGGAAAAAATGCAAGACCCTATCCAAAAATTTAAAAAAAGGGCCTGGCAAGGTGGCTCAGTGTTAGAGCGCTTGCCTTGCATGCCTGAGGCCCTGGGTTCGATTCCTCAGTACAACATAAGCAAAAAGAAAAAAGCCGGAAGTGGAGCTGTGGCTCAAGTGGTAGAGTGCTAGCCTTGAGCTGAAGAGCTGAGGGACAGCGCCCAGGCCGAGAGTTCAGGACCCACGACCGGACCCCCCAAAAAAAATTTTTTTTAAAGCTGATGACTCAAGTGGTAGAATGCTTATCTAGGAGGCCTTGAGTTCAAACTCTATTAACACTAAAAACAACTTTTATTTAAAATTTTTTAATGTATTATGTAATATATGAACACTAACAAGATATATCATACCAATAAATTAAATAGTGAAGAAACATGCACTTGAAATTAATAGTCTTAACTTACCCAATCTAGTCACATCCTTAGTTTACTAAATTATATTATCTCTTAGTTTTAACATGCCTCTAATGCCAATCATTATTCTTTATCCTTCAATTATTAGCATATGTGATACTTAATAAAATTTAATATGTGGAATCTAGATGAGAAAAGCAGATATTCATTTGTGTCCGACTATATCCCTTTCAAATTTAGCCATAAAGTTCAAAGTACAGTTTTATTCAGGTATAATGTCATATTTATTTTATAATAAGCTTCTTGAAAAGTTAACTATGTCAAATAGCATGTCAGATTGTTTTATTCAAAGCAAGGAAAGCTTTAAATTTAGAACACATGAGAAGATTAGGTAGAAGTCTTATTTTTCTGCTCCCAAGGTGTCAGTCTCTGGAGATAGTCATGAGAGCAGCCTCAAAATGCATTTTTTTGCACCTCTGCTAGTGAATGCAGCCTCATTCATCCTAAGCATGCTTTCTGCAAATGAGTTACACCTTCAGCACTGTAATTTAAAATGTTTAATATGTATTTTTAACAAGTACTCTAATAACACTCTGAGAAATCTTGCAAAACACCTGCAGGGATCATTTACAAGAGGCAAATTACAAAGCCTTAGAGGTATACCTTCTAAGGACCTTCAGCTATCATCTTCTTCACCTGATTAATACAGGAACCTATCCACAATCCTGGCAGATTTAACTGATTGCTTTTAAGAAGAAAGAATATCAATATTTACACAATGAAATAAATATTCCCCTACATAAACTACAGAGCCTAATCACTTACTTTAATAATACCACCATTGTTTAAGCTCAGATTCACTTCTTAGAATTAATTTTCAATATCATATAAGCTCTCAAGTACATGAATGAATTACAAAAAGAAAAAGAAACCTTGCTTGCTTTTTGCTCTATGCTAGTGCTCCTTCTTGGTTTTGACCAAAAGGGTCTACTTACCACAGCTCTAAAGGAGTTTAATCTATTTCTCAAACATATCTTTCCAGGGCTGAAAGATGCCATGGCAAAAAAAATAAAACAAGATGCTGTAAAGAATGCTACATATTGATCTTGCTAGCTATGTCCTTTGCCATGCAGAAGCTCTGCAATTTTATGTAATCCCATTTGTCCAACCTTTCTTTGATTTGTTGTGTTTCCGGGTCTCTATTCAGAAAATTTCGGCCTGAGCCAAGGGGACCTAGGGTTTCTCCTATTCCATCCTGTAATGTTTTCAGAGTGTCTGCTTTGACTTCGAGGTCTTTGACCCATTTGGCGTTGATTCTGGTGCAGGGTGATATATAAGGATCTAGCTTTAGTTTTACAACAGACAAGTGTCCATATCTAAAATATACTTGGAACTCAAAAAATTAAATCTCCCAACAACAAATCCTCAAAGAAACAACTGCCCAATAAACAAGTTGGCAAAAGACTTGAAGAGAAACTTCTCTGAAGAAGAAAGAAGGATGGCCAATAGACACATGAAGAAATGCTCAACCTCCCTAGACATAAAAGAAATGCAAATCAAAACAACATTGAGATACCACCTCACCCCAGTTAGAATGGCTATAATCAAGAACTCTAATAACAACAGATGCTGGAGGGGATGTGGACAGAAGGGAACCTTACTTCATTGTTGGTGGGAGTGTAAACTTGCTCAACCACTTTGGAAAGTAGTATGGAGGTTCCTCAAAAGACTCCACATAGATCTCCCCTATGACCCAGCAATCCCACTTTTGGGCATTTACCCAAATGTTTACAAACAAGACCACACTAAAGCTACCAGCACAACTATGTTTATTGCAGCATTATTTACCATAGCTAAGATATGGAACCAACCCAGATGCCCCTCAGTAGATGAATGG